GGTAAGGTAGATTTTAAGACTTGTACTATAGGCCTACACACGATATGGATTGGTCTTTTATTATTAATTAGATGGGGTACACCTGTACTTTTTTCAATGAAACTTTCTTTTAGCTGATAAAAAAAGAGTTTTAAGATAACTAACGAGGGGTTGGATTAAGTGGTAAGTGACTTGTTCCAACTTAAATAAGGTTTTAAGTTTAAGTCCTTGCGTATGTAGCAGCCTTTGTTGGGAGACTCACCCACCATTTCTAGGTGCGCGACCAGAGTCGGGTCCAAATTAGTCAAGGCGAAACCTCGGATATCGAGCAGGAAATCGAAAAAAAAAAAAAAAATTTTAAGATATGTTTCGTTTGTCAGAATGAGAGGGGAGGAGGAAGACAATTACTTTATTTAATTATTAAAAAATTATCAAAACATTTTTTTTTTCGTAACCTTATTTATAAGTGTAATTTCCTTTTGAGTAGTAATAGGAAGAACGGTTTTTTGGCGACGAAACGGAGAATTAAGTATGTTGCAGCCACGTATCGAGTTAATGCGTAATTTTTCGAGTTTAATCGTCTACGTGGCAGGACACATAATCAACAGATATGTAATTTTTTAAGTTAAAAAATATTTTTAATTTGTGAATAAGTTTTCAATTCCCAAAGCAAGATTCCATTCAATCGTATTGGAAACGATGTGAACAAGCAAGAAGTGGGAACAAATTAACTAGAATCACATCAGATTCAATTACAATTGGATGCAAAGTCCAGTTTGATGATGGTCGTATTGCAGAATCCAAACACAAAATCATTTTTTTGCCATACAATCAACAACAGTTGCAATACCCAAAAGTTCTCTCTACTGTGGCTGATTGTGGCTGATTGTTGATTTTTTTTTCTCATTACACAATCCAGGGATTCAGACCTAAACCCAGACACGAGATCTCACTGAAAAATTTATCTTCGTTCTTCTAAACTTTTTAGGGTCTTCATTGGATTCAAAGAGGAAACAAAAGAGGAAATCTGAGGGGAAATTACCATAGATGAGATCTATCAAAAGATTCTGAGTCCTCTTCCTGCAGCTCATCTTTGATTTGGCCCACTAGGGTAGCTCTCCTCTTTTGTGTCTTGATTTTGGTTGGTTAGGATTTAGTGGAGAAGACGAAAGTGGGGCTCTAGAATTGGGAATGATTAAAAGCTTTTAATTTTATAAATTAGATATGTACTTGTTTAATCTCTTTTCGTCTTCATTGTACGTATATTTTAGTGCATGTGTAATATGTCCACAATGTTACTATTAGATTTGTCTGTATTGTGATACTACTAGAATTCAAACTAAATTAAAGGCAGGATGAATCAACTCGAACTAACAAATTTATTGTGGTACATACGTTTAAGGTATTAGCTCATCATAATTAAATCAAGACTGCCAAGAATCCAAACAGGTTAAAGTTTTACCATTTTTCCCTTTTAGTAAAATTACCTAAACTCGTTTGGATTCTTGGTAATCTTGAAATTCTTCTGGAACAGCCTCGCCCTCACGGGCCATAGCCTTGGCAATTTCCCTGAGCACAAACTTCTGTATTTTGCCAGTTGAAGTCTTGGGGAGCTCATCCTGAAACACCACCGTCTTAGGCACCATGTAATGTGGCAACTTCTCTCTACAATATTCTATTATCTCCTTCGCCGTTGGCTTCCGACTTACCCCCGCCTTCAAACTTATAAATGCACACGGTGTCTCTCCCCAAAACTTATCCGGTCTAGCCACCACGGCCACCTCATTAACTGCCGGGTGAGAGTACAGCACCGACTCCACTTCAGGACTACTTATGTTCTCTCCACCACTTATTATAACGTCTTTGGATCGATCTTTGATTTCTAAGTAACCGTCCGGGTGCATCACCCCCACGTCGCCGGTGTAAAACCATCCGTTCTCCTTCATGCACCCCGACGTCCCTTTTGGGTCCTTAAAATACCCTAACATGACACATCCGCCTCGTAAAACAACCTCGCCGACTGTCTTCCCGTCTCGTTCCACGCTCTCTCCAGTCTCAGGATTCACCACGTCCAAGTCGGTAAAACCGGCTTGTCTTACTCCCTGTCGTGCCTTAAGCCTTGCTCTCTCCGCCGCCGGCGAGCGGTCCCATTCCGGTTTCCACTCACACGACACTGCGAGTCCGCCGGTTTCAGTTAGCCCGTAACCATGACTCGTTACGAAACCTTTCAACTCAGTCCGATGTAGAACCGGCGCCGGGGGCGGAGCACCGGCCGTTAGGATTTGTACCGGTTTTTTGAGAGATTCGGAATCAGCTGAGTTGGACAGCATGTTGAGCACAACAGGCGCGCCGCACATGTGGGTGACACCGTGTCGCTCGATCAAGCGGTAAATTGCTGACGCGTCAATCTTACGCAAGCATATGTTGGTCCCACCAACTGCCGCCATCCCCCACGTGTAGCCCCATCCATTCGCATGGAACATGGGTAGGGTCCACAAGTAAACGGGCCGCTTTGGTAGAGACCAATCTACGATGGAATTAACGGTGAGGATGAATATTCCCCGGTGACTGTGAACCACACCCTTTGGAGCAGATGATGTGCCTACAACACACAAGTAAAATCGAAAATAAAACATAAAATTTTATTATAAAAGGCTAAAATCATGATGACCAATCTCATCCAAGTGATGAATTTTACTTAGCAGTAACTCAAAATTTAATACATAATTTTAGATCAAATTGAAAATAATATAATTATAAAGTAATATAATATTATAAATTTATAATTA